ACGATGATCGTGGAGTAGCAAAAATCCACAAAGGACAAGTGGCTGAGGAAAAAGTACATGGGAGTGTGAAGTTGAGAGCTGACCTGAATCAATGCAATCATGCCTAGATTTCCCAAAACAGTGACGCCATAGATGAGAAGGAACACCAGGGAGAAGAAGACTGTCAGCTCCGGGGCATCTGCTAATCCGAGAAGAATGAACTCTGTCACAGAGGTGCAGTTCTCCTCCCCCATGTTCCCACTTTATTGAGCATAGAGAAAAATATTAATAGTTACTCTCCATTATATGATTCCAAATTCATTTTTTGACTGTCTCCTAAAAAAAAGACATGATAACAAATAAGAAAGTTAATGTTTTCAGTGAAGAAACAGGACATTGCTTTCCTGAAGTTTAGGAAATTTGCAGGCATTGTGGCGAAGATGCATAAGATACCAGTTTAATTCACAGGTCACACAAAAACAATCACATCCATAACAGCTTATATGATCCCTTAAAGGAGTCCTACACAATTCAGAGCTTGAAACTGAGTCATTGGAAAGACATCAAACATTATTTAATTAGCCATATTGTTTTATGAAACTGAAATCCCTCTTTCTTGGCAAAATGTTTAATGAGCACTGAAAATACTGAGATCTCGGAAAATAATTTTAAAAAATACACAGCATTCTTCTCTGCTTTCCACTGAAATGATGAAAAGTCTATGTATTGAAGATTGTTAATCCACAAGTGTTCATTTTTTATCAGTATGTTTTAGATGGAGAAGTAGCTTTTATGCTCCATACTAGCTTTTTTTCTATAAAATTAACATAGTGATTTTGTTAATTAAGCTATCCCATGCCAGCCATTGTTCAGGGAATTGGCACTTGGATTCAAACTTCCTCTAACTATGACTCTGAAGCCTTATAAAGACCTAGATGACAAATACATTCAGTGCTTTAAATCCATTTGAAGAAGCGATCAGAGATGTACATATGAAAGTATTAAATGTTTGCTGCTGCATTGTAGTATTATTTATGATAGTAAAAGTCAGAAATCAAGTGTCAAACAAGAGGGAAATGGTCAAAGCTATGGTACATATATATTATGGAAAACTATGCAGCTATTAGGGGATATTTTTGAAGAACATTTAATGACCTGACAAATAACTATGATACAATGGTAAGTTAAAAAATAGTAAGCCATGGGCTGCCTGGGTGGCTCAGTCGGTTAAGCGTCTGCCTTTGGCTAAGGTCACGATCCCAGGGTCCTGGGATCCAGCCCCACAATGGACTCCTTGCTCAGCGGGGAGCCTGCTTCTCCCTCTCCCACTGCCCCTGCTTGAGCTCTCTCTCTCTCTCTGACAAATAAATAAATAAATCCTTAAAAAAATAGCAAGCTAGATTGCACAGAGAGAATATTATATGTATATACATAAGTTGCTTTGCATATTTAACCCTCACAAAATCCATGAAAAGTGAATAATTTATTCTAATCATTTGAAAAAAAATATAGAAACTTGCCTTAATTCATGACATGGAGACACGTTGGTTATTCCTGGAGGAAAGAGTCTACACTAAAATTCAATGCAGTCAGGTATTTCCCCTTTTTTCAAATGACTTCAAAGAGATAAAGCGTATGTGCCTTAAGAAGTCCCAGTTGAAATCTTGAAGAAAATTGAGTAATAAAGATCATTTGTTAAGGATCTGAACAACTGAAATAGGCTTGTTTTTAAGAGTTCTATTATGTAAGTCACAACTTGAAACATTTCTAGTTAAGGACAGTATCTCAGAGTTCCAATAATTGATGTCACAAGTATTTGAATAATTTGCAAGTTAATGCAGGGGTGATATAAGGATTGCTAGCCTATATAATATTCAAGACTACTTTTAAATTTCAACGTTTTATCCTGGTTTTTAAGAGTTAAGAGGTGGTCTGTAATGGATTCAAATGTTTCATTTGTAGTATAATGAAATGTTTACAGAAAGATAACTTTTTCATTAAAAAATTTTTAGAAATGTGAAAAAAAAAAGAAATCCCAGTTTGAAGACAAATAATTATTCTGATAATATGATTTCTCTCTTCGATGAGTAGTATAAGTGAGTTGTCTCTTTCTGAGTTCAATGTAGTACATAATCTTGAAAACCTGGACTGTTTTCCGGTCTAAAGGTGAAAAATCAGGATTTTATTTATTTATAGAGAAGTGGTTCTTAACCAGGAGAGATTTTTTTTTTATGTTCAGTTAGCCAACATGTAGTACAACATTAGTTTTTGATGTCGTGTTCAACGACTCATTAGTTGCATATAACACCCAATGTTCATCACAACAGGAGAGATTTTGATCCCTCCGGGACTTTGGTCTCTGTCTGAAGACATTTTTGTCTGTGACAATAAGAAAGAGTGCTAGTGACATCTAGTGGTCAGAGATCAGGGATGCTGCTGAACACTCAAAGATGCACAAGGCAGCCCCACCCCAGCCTCCCCCCACACACATACCAACTACACATGCAAACACAAAAATAGTATGTGACCCAAAAGGTCAACAGTACTAAGGTTGAGAAGCCTGCTATGGAAAGACATTTCTAAGTGTGGTCCCCAAGACCAAAATAGTTCCTCTCCTTTCTGCTTCAGAGGTGATCCCCATGTCTGTGTCCCTCCACAAAGTCCTGAGGCACCCTTCCTGCAGCTCTCAGCATCAGAGAGTGACTGTTGGGAATTTCCATGTGGTCTTTTCCAGGTTCCATGGATAAGTCAGTGTGAGCGAGGTGGAAGAAGATTGGGGGGAGACCAAGTATTCTTTCCAACTTGCTTACACCCTTTTCCCTCTTACACCTCTTACCAAGGTATTTGGTCCTGTAAATTAGACTGTTTCCATCCCCCATTGAGATTGTTTCTCAATACACAAAGAAAAAACGTTTTCATAAAGAAGTGATCCAAACACGGCATTTCTTAAAATACTCTCTAATTAAGAAAGAGCAAAACACAGATTTTTATAAATACGTTTAATACTACGGCCTTCCTCTACTGTTCCTCCTTCTTGTATACGTGGCTATAATAACTTACCTTATGAGAAAAAAAAAGAGAGAAAAAGCTTCTAGCTCTGAGAAAATATCATCTAAGTCCATTCCCAAGAAAAGAGAGTAGAGCCCAACTAACCTGTGGGTGAATATCACTTCCTCTGTTTCTGAAGATGCAGTCATGGAAAGGCTTTATGTTTTTGTGTGTACATATCTCTGGGACTCATGTTCCTTAAGCCTCCAAAAATAATTACTGATCTCTGTGGGATATAAATGAGATATCAAGAAAACCATACTATCCTGAGACTCAAACAACTAATGACCTCTATGAAGTATAAACAAGGAGAAAAGCTATCCCAGCTTGGTACATGTTATTATTATCCAACAAGGTTCCTTTCAGAGTTCATGATATATTGCAGAGCAATGTATCCTGCATCCTAGCATTGCTTGGAGAACCGGGGATCATACTGTCATTATGAAATATATGAATAGGTCTTATAAACTTTGCCTGTGTTTTACTGAAGAGCTCCTTCCTGGAAGGCATGGGGTCTGAAAAGTCAAACCAGAGTTCTGCCAAATACCAGAAATGGGTGGGAATAATGAACCTCCTTTACTGAGACTAGTAATAAATGCTCACATATACTGACCACTTTCTATGTCCTAGGCACTGTTCTGAATACAACTATTAACACATTTTATCTTTATAAAAATCAGTGAGATTGGGGCGCCTCGGTGGCTCAGTCGTTAAGCAGCTGCCTTCGGCTTGAATCGTGATCCCAGGGCCCTGGGATCAAGCCCCGCATCGGGCTCCCTGCTCGGCGGGAAGCCTGCTTCTCCCACTCCCACTCCCCCTGCTTGTGTTCCCCCTCTCGCTGTGTCTCTCTCTGTCAAATACATAAATACAATCTTTAAAAAAAAATCAGTGTGATCACTACAGTTATGCACCTTTACGATAAGGTGACTGAGGTACAGACTGTTGTAACTTGCCCAAAGTCACACCCAAAATCATAGATAAAATCAGGCCATATGCTGCTTTTAAATCTGTGCCACCCATATGACCACGTGAGGAAGAGCAGAGCTTCTGACGGTACCAGGACGGCATCTCCCTGCTGGACTCCAGAAGCCATTAAGCCGGATTGGCTCTAGGATTTCTCCCAGGTGTGCTGTAGAATGCCTCCTAAACCAGTAGGGTGCAAACCACTGCCTGTGGTTTGTGTCCTTGCATATAATCACACATTTCAAGAACTCCATGGATGTAATTAGTTACAGATAATCAGTTTTCAAATTTTCATTAACTTACATGCATCTTCCTAGGATTGATTCATCTGATAATTCCCTGAGTTTGAGGCATGTTTCTGGGTGTCTTTTTTACCTACCCCTCGTACCCTGTTGTCTCCTAAAACTCTGTCCATCCTGTTATCCAAAGCCAAGTTCAAACAATACCTAGTTTCTGAAGGTATATTTAAGTACACCATTCTAAAACCCTAAAATGGACTTGAACTTTTCTTTCTTTCAAACACAATGGCCTCTTTCTTCACTGCCCTACTGTCAACACAGGATTTTGCATTCCTTGAAGATGAAGACTGTGTCTCATTTTAACTGCTACTTGTACTTTTATGAGATAAATTCATGTGTTTATTGATAGCCTAGTCTATTCCAGGTGGGTTATAAGAAAGGAGAATGAAATTAATGTTTATTGAGATTATACAAAGTATTCCAAATGATATCTATATTATCTTTTAGTCTTCACAATCAGATTGGGAGCTAGTTTATGTTACCACAATTTTGTAGATTAAAAACCAAAGATAGGAGAGATTACTGATTTTTTTTTCCAGTAAGCAAGAGACAAGGGTAGTGTCTTTGCATCAAAATCCACCCCATTGTACATTACCTCTTCATTAATTTTAAAGATATCTTTACAATCAACCTTTATGGGCACACTTTATTTACATTTCAGGGATAAATGCTACTAACATTTCAGGGATAAACGCTACTAAAATAACATGCTCAAAAAGAAAAGACTTCAGTGTCCATTAACTTGCTGACTGTACCCTTGACATCCTTATTTCTCAGACTGTAGATCAGGGGATTCAACATGGGGATCACCACTGTGTAAAACAGAAACGCTACTTTGACTGTGTGCCTGGAGTTTTTGGAGTTAGGCACACAGTAGAGGAAGAGGATGGTCCTGTGAAAGATGGTGATGGCGGTCAGATGGGAGGCACAGGTGGAGAAGGCTTTGCGGCGGCCACTGGCTGATCGCATCTCGAGGATGGTGACAATGATAAATACGTAAGACAAGAGAATGATGAGCGGTGTGCTGACCTCATTAAAGGTGGCAAAAATGAAAAGCAGCAACTGACTGATGTAAGTATCAGAGCAAGACAGGGAGAGCAATGCAGAGAACTCACAGAAAAAGTTATTGATTGTGTTGAAACCCTGAAAAGATAATTTGATAGCAGAGCATGTAAGTATCAAAGACCATGCTACTCCCTATGTATATGATCTGACCACCATCATGGCACAGAGTTTCTGGGACATGGCAACTGTGTAGAGCAGAGGGTTGCAAATGGCCACAAAGCGGTCATAGGCCATCACAGCTAATAAAAAGGATTCAGTTACCACAAAGGTACAAAAGAAAAAGAATTGTACTACACATCCTGGAAGTGAAATGCTTCTGTCTTCTATAACCGGGTTTTCCAGGGCCTTGGGAGCAATGATGGAAGAGTAGCAGACATCTACAAATAAGAGATGGCTGAGGAAGAAGTACCTGGGGGTGTGCAATTTCAGGTTAATCTTGATTATAACTATCATCCCAATATTCCCTACAACAGTGACACTATAGATGGCCAGAAAAATCAAGAAAAGGGGGACTTGCAGTTCTGGATAATCCGAGAAGCCCAAGAGAGTGAATGTAGCCCCACTTTTATTTCTCTCTGACAGTAACATGATGGTTTTTGTTTGTCAGAATCTGAATCAGTCCTGAAAACAAAAATATTAAAGAGAGTGAGGCTATGAGAAGTTTGTTTAGCTACCCTTTAGCAAGCCTGGAAGAGGAAGCAAAATATCTTTTCATAATTTCTCTATGCTATGTGTTTATTATGAAGATATGCAAATGTCTAAGATTTTAAAACATGAAAATCATTTTTAAAATTTTCTTTAAGTAAAAAAGCAATACAATTATGGACTTAAAAACTTATAAGTTCTTAACTGTAATGTTTAATATTTACAAATAAGAATATGAGATAAAGGGATTTATGGTTATTTTAAATCAAATCTTCCTATAACACTTTCAATTTCTCTTGAACATTATAAGTTCATACAAAGATAGGGCTAGCATAATATGATGACTGATTATGTCAGTCCTCTAATCAGTACAGAAATGAGAAATTTCCAAACAAATTAATTTTTACATCACAGGTTCATACTGTGACATTAAGAATAAACACCCTCTTTGACCTTGGCCACAGAAACTTCTTGCAAGACACATGTCCTAAAGGCAAAGGAAACAAAAGAAAAAATGAACTATTGGGATTTCATCAAGATAAGAAGCTTCTGCACAGCAAAGAAAACAGCCAACAAAACTAAAAGGCAACCCACACCATGGGAGAAGATATTTGCAAATGACATTTCAGATAAAGGGCTAGTATCCAAGATCTATAAAGAACTTCTCAAACTCAACACCCAAAAAACAAATAATCCATTCAAGAAATGGGCAGAAGACATGAAGACACTTCTCCAAAGAAGACGTACAAATGGCTAACAGACCCATGAAAAAGTGCTCCACATCACTTGCCATCAGGGAAAGACAAATCAAAACCACAATGAGATATCACCTTACACCAGTTAGAATGGCTAAAATTAACAAGACAGGGAACAACAAATGTTGGAGAGGATGTAGAGAAAGGGGAACCTGCTTACAATGTTGGTGGGAATGCAAGCTGATACAGTCACTCTGGAAAACAGTATGGAGTTTCCTCAAGATGTTAAAAATAGATCTACGCTACAACCCAGCAATTGCACTACTAGGTATTTACCCCAAAGATATAGATGTAGTGAAAAGAAAGGGCACATGCACCCCAATGTTCATAGCAATATCCACATTAGTCAAACTGTGTAAGGAGCTGAGATGTCCTTCAACAGATGAATAAAGAAGATGTGGTTCATATACACAATGGAATATTGCTCAGTGAACAGAAAGGATGAATACCTACCATTTGCATCAACATGGATGGAACTGGAGGGGATTATGCTAAGTGAAATAAGTCAAGCAGAGAAAGACAATTATCATATGGTTTCACTCATATGTGGAACATAAGGACTAGCACAGAAGACCACAGGGGAAGGGAGGGAAAATTGAAAGGGAAGAAATCAGAGAGAGAGAAAAACCATGAGAGACTCTGGACTCCGGGAAACAAACTGAGGGTTGCGGAAGAGAGGAGGGTGGGGAGATGGGGTAACTGGGTGATGGGCATTAAGGAGGGCAGGTGATCTGATGAGCACTGGGTGTTAAACAGCTTATGAATCACTGAACACTACATCAAAAACTAATGATGTACTATCTGTTGGTTAATTGAACTTAAATAAAAAAATAAGAATAAACACCCCTAACACTTTATATTTGTGCCTTTATTATTAATTTCATATAACACTTTAATCTTTTTCTTTCTGACTCAGTAAATCTGATATCAAAATAAATCTTAGGTTTTTTTCAGAGTAATCCTCTCAACTAGTGAGCTCCTGTCAATCCTTCCACATTGCTTGATGGATAATACAATTAGAATAGATGATAAAGATAATCATGTCTACTTCCTTATTCTAGAGGTGACAAAACAGAAGCTGGAGAAACCTTGACTTCCCCAATGACATGCGAATAAGGACCAATCTACACATCTGAGACTAGAGCCCTGATTGGAATCCCAGCCATGTGTCCATTCCTTCACATCAGGCTCTGACCCATGTTCTAGGTCTAGATACTAAGATATTTGCTTTATTAATGATCATACCATATCTGGACCTATGGAAGAGAATCTGCTGACAGTATACAGACCACAGAGCTCCATTAGAAAGCGGCATCAAGATGAAATGAGAACGGGATTTAGGGAAATGTTCTCTCCCAGAAATAACTAAGTGTAGTAAAGACAGACTTAGGAACTTTCCTTGCCTAGGACTCTCTTTCTCTCTCTCTCTCTCTCGTCACGTCTCCTCTCCCTTCAAGACGTGGAGGATATTCATTCTGTCCCAGTATTATCTGTAAGGAGAAAGATTAAAAAACTTGAGGTAGTAATGCACTATAAAGACATTTTAGGAGAAAATAGTAATACAAAAGAATCATCATATTTCTCCAGTAGGTGCCCAACACCTCTGAAATCTTACCGTACCAGGAAACTCTTTTTTTTTTTTAAAGATATTATTTATTTATTTGAGAGGCAGGGGGAGGGGAGGAGCAGAGGGAGAGGGAGAAGCAGACTCAGTGCTAAGTGTGGAGTCCAACGAAGGGCTGGATTCCAGGACCCTGAGATCATGACCTGAGCTGAAATCAAGAGTCAGATGATTAATTGACTGAGCCTCCCAGGCGCCCCATAGCAGGAAACTCTTAATCATCTCTCTGGTAAGGTTATCTCTGGCCCCACAACCCAAGAAATAGTTTTAGATGGCCCATCAATAAAGATGTCAGATCATATTCGAGACTGAGAACTCAATGACCCTCTCTTCCCCACACCCACACATCTGAGTACTAAAGACAACCTCAAAAGACAATCCATCATGAAGCCAGACATTCTAATTATCACATTTTTTGCTTAATACAATATTTAACTTATCTAAAGCATTTAAGAATTTATTTTAAACTAATGTAACATTTAATGTGATGGGCCTTGCATCCCAAATGCTATCATTAAATTGTTGGTAAAAATTTTCTATATCATTGAATCTAAGAAATATGACAGCTGTAATCTTCTTACCTATGTTTTTCCCATTTTGTTGTAATTTTTGCTTAGACACATGTGTTTCCTGTTTTATAATCTTAATCAAAGCTGGTCCCTTTCAATTTTTTTCACAAGAGAGTCTGTTCCAACTCTGTTAGTTTCATTTTATTTAAATTGTCTCTATTCTACCTTGCCTATTTATTCAATAATTTATAGAAACAAGACAATGGGGCGCCTGGGTGGCTCAGTCGTTAAGCATCTGCCTTCGGCTCAGGTCATGATCCCAGGGTCCAGGGATCGAGTCCCACATCAGGCTCCCTGCTCGGCGGGAAGCCTGCTTCTTCCTCTCCCACTCCCCCTGCTTGTGTTCCTGCTTTCACTATCTCTCTCTCTGTCAAATAAATAAATAAAATCTTAAAAAAAAAAAAAAAGAAACAAGACAATGCATATCCTCAACATTTTCAGACCTCTTCTGTTCTCCCACTCCAGGTACCCTTTGTTCATCTGAGCCAGGTTCTCTAATACAAAACTGTGTGAATAAATGCACTTTATCTTCCTTGCATATTCAGATATGTTACTTTTGCAGTGACTAAATATTTCTCAAGAACTGCCTAGATCTAAAGGGTAAGTTCCCCCCTCCCGTGTTGTTTTAGAGATACCCTACACTGAAGTTAATATCAATCTGTCTCTAGAATCTAAAAACAAACCTGCTGATGGCAAAGGTAGGCCCTCTCCTGGTTGGGACTGATGGATATATTCTTATATCTATAGCATAAGCTTTGGGACATGAACTCTAGGGATAATGTCTTGCCCCATTCTCTTGAGGTCATGAAATAAACAATTAAAATTAATCACCTTTCTCTGATGTAATTCTTGAAAACCTGGAGCAGTGCTGGGAGCATTTTATATAAAAATTTATATTTTATTTAATTTACTTTTTGTTTTTAAAAGATTTTTTATTTATGTATTTGAGAGAGAAAGAGAAAGGGAAAACACAGAGGGAGAGTGAGAGGGAGAAGCAGACTTCCCAATAAGCAGAGAGCCCTACATGGGGCTCAATCCCAGGACCCTGAGATCATGACCTGAGCCGAAGGCAGACACTTAACTGACTAAGCCACCCAGGTGCCCCCAAAATTTATATTTTAAAATCACCTCCTCAACCCCTGATTACTCCCATACCTTCCTACAATTATCAATATTATGGAATTATAAAAATCATCCTTATCAAATACTGAGTGACTACCATATGCTGGGCATAACCCTCTTCCTCCCTACCATCCACTCTGACCCTGCTGCAGAAGTGTGAAGATCCAACTTTTAGGTCACTATGATTCATTGAGAGTTAAAGCAGAAATACTTACAAAATTAAACATCAAGTTGAGAAAACGATCTAGTCCCTTTGAAATCTTGTCCTATTCTATTACTCTTTCCCACCTCTTCTTCCTCCAGCTAGACTGACCTCCTTGCTTTTTTCCCTTGCTTTTTGTTTTTCAAAAAAAAAAAATATTACCTTCTCATTCTCTATGGTCTTTTCTACTCATGTTTCCTGTACGCTGAAATGCTTTCCTTTAAGTTTTTGTTCAAATGTACCTTTTCAGTGAAACCTTCCATGGACTTACTGTTTTCCTGCAGGAGCTACTTTACTACCCAATTGAGTGTTTAAAGTACTTCACATGGTTCAAATATATTTTAACCCTTATTTCTTTCATTGTATGTTGCTTGTTTTCCCCTGCTAAGATAAAATTTCCAGGAAAGCAGAGACCATTCACTGCTTTGCTCACTAATATATTCCAAGTTCCTAGGTGAATGACTAGCATAAAGTCGGCGTATCATGAATCTTTATTGAATAATAAATATGACTTTCCAGGGCGCCTGGGTGGCTCAGTTGGTTAAGCGACTGCCTTCAGCTCAGGTCATGATCCTGGAGTCCCAGGATCGAGTCCCGCATCGGGCTCCCTGCTGAGTAGGGAGTCTGCTTCTCCCTCTGACCCTCGCCCCTCTCATGTGCTCTCTCTCTCTCTC